GGGCCAACTTTTATACGCATTAAGATTCGAATGATGTAGTTTTTGGGAACCAAAGGCATCACCTATCTACTTTATTGCCCAGGCAATTTATTAGTGAATCGTGATTATGGTTGATCGGTCTTCGTGATCTGGAAAGTTTACATTCAAATGAGTGTAATTTTGGTAGCAGATTTTAAGATAGGAAATTGTGTCGTTCTGCTCATTAGTAGTTGACTTACGCAAGTTGGAACAGGAGATAGTTTCGTGGTTGAAAGGGATAAGGAAGTACTCGCAGGCCTCCTTGAGCTGCCGTACGGAGACATCCGGTGGGCAGGTCATTTTACCCAAAAGATAGTAGTCAAGAATGACCCGAAAGACATTGGCCGCTACACCTGCCCCACTCAAGCACACATCTGTTGAGGTGTTGGTAGCCTGAGACTGCAGTGAGGGATGTCGATGACGTCGCTGAGTTCTCCGTCGATCCTGACGCGATCGCCTCAGGCCTCCACACCCGCCACCGCACAGACTACCGCGGTGCGATCGATAGGAGGCTGGAGCGGAATGAGTAACGCCCGAGACGGCTCCACTACCAACGCCATGGGATGTCGACGTCGATGCCGAGGCCATCCAATGTTCCACGTCCGCTGTCCGACCACCACTGCACACAGAACTAGTCCCACTGACTTCTACCTCTTCATCCTCCTCAGCATCATCATCATCTACATCGGCGTCATCCTCCTCACAGGTTGTAGTTCCGCTAGGCACATGGGCAGTCCCGTATCCAACTAAGCCGTCGTAGGAACCAGTAGCGGTGCTTTCTATGAAACCAGATTGGAACATGCGACCCAGCATAGTGTCAGGGTGAGCCCGTAGGGAGTCAACGTCAACAACAAAGCGAACACCTTCCACGAGGAGGTTTACACGCTGTCGCAACTGCTGCTCCGAGGCGTCGAATGACATATTTTGGCTTTTAGGGCAGTAAAAAGAGAGGGTGATAGCAGAAAAGTGTAAGCTGCACAACGTTATTGACTATAAGCAAATTACAAACCCAAAAAGAGCCTCATACCCGACTGGCAAGTAGCAAGAGAGGGGCGGAAAATGCCACATTAAGGTTAGAATTTAAAAGTTACGTAGCATTGAGAGCATCATGAAAGATGGACCATAATAAAGACATCACAACTACAAAGTTTAGAGGTGTAGATATTACCTCTAGTTCAATGAACACAGTTGCCGATACCCTAACATCAAGTAGCCTTCTTTGTAATTCCTCTATCCAGCGTGACAAATCAACCAGATTCTATGAACCTAGAGGTGGGTAATGCTGGCTAAACAAGTGAACAAATTATTTACTTCCCGGTCCAAAGATCTGTTAGCAAATGTGTCCAAGGCTTTTAAAACAACTGTTGAGGAGCATGCACGTTCTAGGTAATACAAAACTATGATTAGCTAGTACGTTTCGTCTTCGTGGCCCAAAAGCAAGGAAAGCCAGGCTCTTCTGTAGCTTAGGCAGTGCATCCAAATTTCCCGCATTTTCGCTTCGCCCATGTCAGTGTTGCATTAATCAGATCACGACACGCAAAATCACGTAAGATGAGGTTAAAATTCCTGTTGTCCTTCATTCAATTACTCTTTTCACGGTTACATATAGAATCTGCGAATTGGCCCAATACCAGGGCAACAGCACTTGTCAATACCACTTTTTT